GGTGCTTTAGCCTGAGGCCCCTGTGTGGTGCTGATAGTATTAATTCTTCTGGAGGTGGAATAAAATCATTATTTAATATTTACCAGTAAATAATTAAATGATAGAAAATTTTAAAACCTTTGACCCAGCAATTTCACTTGGAAATTATTAAAGATATGTGTAAAAGTGTACCTAGAGTAGACTACTTTGCAACTGTTTAAAAAGTCATCAAAGAATATTTATTGGTATACAGAGATGTTTGAGAAATAGTTAATGAAAAAAGGAAGGCTATAAAACTATATTGCAGTGTATTCCTTTTAAAAAATAAAATGTACACAATTTAGTTATGTACCAGCCGAAATGCATATATTTGTACACCAAGAACATGAACAAGAATGTTCATAGAAATATTTTTAATAATCCAAAATAGGAAACAACTGCCCTGGCAGGGTAGCTCAGTTGGTTAGAGCTTTGTCCTGATATGCCAAGGTTTCAGGTTCAGTCCCCAGTCAGGGCGCATACAAGAATCAACCAATGAATGCATAAGTAAGTGGAACAACACATTGATGCTTCTCTCTCTCTCTCTCTCCCCCCTTCCCATTCTTTCTCTAAAAATCAATAAAAATTAAAAACCAAACCAAACCAAATACATGATGGTATATTCATACAATGGAATATTCTACAGCAACGAAGAGAAACAAACTGCAACTACATTCAACAATGTCAATGATTTTCATTAACATAATGTTATCATGATTCCATTTATATGAAATTCAGCAGGCAAAGTCAATCTGTGCTCTTAGAAGTCAGAATAGTGGTTACCTTTTTTTGTCATTTTTTTTAATTGTAGGAAAATGCACATAAGATTTACCATTTAAACCATTTTAAAGTGTACAATTCAGTGGCGTTCATTAGAGTCACAATGTTGTGTAACCATGACCTCTGTCTAGTTCTGGGATTTGAAGCAGTACTCACTGAGCAATCACTCCCCATTCCTCCCTGCCCCTGTGATGTTACTTTTGAAGAGGAAAGAATAATGACTGAAGGGGGGCATAATGGGAGGCTTCTGGATATTAGTAATGTTCTATTTTTAAAATCTGGGTGGGAATTATATGGCTGTGTTCATGTGAAAATTTATCTAGCTGTACACTTATAATTTATATACCTTTTGTATTATGTATGTTATATCTAAGTACACATAAATGTGTAGATAAATTGATTGTAATGCCTTTCAAAAGAAAATGTTCCTTACCGTGAGAGGCAAAGGGAGTGTCACACCCAACTTTGCCTGTCCCTATTTTGCCTTAGGACTGATACTTCTATAGCTATCCATCACTCTGCATGATTCCCGACCTGTCCTTTCTCTCTGGCTGCCTTTCTTCCTGGTGGATGTGGAAGGAGTGTGGGGGGGAGACATGAGGGAGAGAGGATGTTCCAGCTCTCCTTGGCCACTAGGTGGTTGTGCTGAGAGGACTCACTCCCTGCCAGGCTGGAATTAATCTCCACATAAAAGCTGGGGAATCTGAGAAGAGAAGGCAGAGGCCAGGGTGAGCAGACTGCCTGGACTGGCCTAAAGGAGCATCAGGTAGCAACCAAGGGCTTCAAGAAAGCAAATGACCCTCTAGTCTATCAAACCAGAGACAGGCAAGCACTCCAGAAAGAGATTTTCATAAAGGAAGCCTTCAATCACCCAGCACCCACCAAGAGGAACGTACTAAGTGCTATCTATGTGTAAAGCTCCCGTCCCTCTCAAGAACTGGAAATGCCTTGAAGCCACCCTTGTCTTACTGGCCTTCTCACCTTTCAAATCTCAATTTTTATCTTCATCCCCTCCAGGCATGCAGGCACTATTAACCTCTCCCTTCTCTGTGCTTTCCCAGCATCTCTATCTCTACTAAGGGGCCACCATATTGTGTAATAAGTCTTTGCTGCCAAACTGTGATCTCCTTAATAGCTGGAACTAGGTATTTTTGATCACTGCATCCTCAACACCTATGCAGTAGATACCCAACAAATGTTGATCTGATTGTTGAAGGTGGGCTTTCTCCCAGCCTTTGACCCTTTCTCCCAAGTGGTGCGACTGCATACATTCCTTTCATTTTCTGTAGGTTTTTGTTCTTCAGTCCTTTCCTTGGTTCCAACATGTCTCCCATTCTTCAGATGTCACTGCATGTTTATGCACGCATTTGCCTTGGAGCTTGTGGTGCAGATTTCCGGCCCCCTTCCATGTGCAGTGCAGGGCCTGTAGCCATCTCACTTCTCTCCAATGCTTTTTTTTCTGGCACTTGTCCTGCTCTTCCTTCACAAGTCCAGAAACTGAGCTTTTATTTATCTTTTCAGTTTCCAAAGGCTTTATTCGTAAATATGCTTTAGAAAAGAAAGATTGATTCTATTGCTTCCAAGTCAAGGGAGCTGTGTCCAGGGACACATCCCAGGAGAGCCAAAGGGGCCTGATGATCTTATCCATAGACACAGTCAAAAGCACAAGACTTTAGTCAACCAATTCTTTGGGCTTAAACCATAGGCTGATTTCTCTCTCAGTGCTTTTTACTGAGTCATTGCTGTGAATGATGCTCCTGCCAACTTGAATGCAAAGGTCTTCATGAATGTGCCTGCTTAGAGTCTGCTGGGTTGGCCTCCCCAAGCATCGTTCCCCCTGTCTTCACCACATTCAGCGCCTCCTAGACCATGACCGCCACAGGCTCCGAGTTCATGTACGTTACCAGTCCTGCTTCAGGAGCTCCTCAGAGGTCCGAAGGAACTTCTGGCCAGGAGTCGGAACCCCATCTGCTCCAAGCGCTTGGTGATGCCACCCACCAGACCACGCCACACGCTGTCAGGCCTAATGGTAATGAAGGCGTGCTCCGTGTTGGCCATGGTCCGAGAAGCCGGCTGGCACAGCAGCTGCGCTGTGGAGCCAGAGCCCAGCAACTGAGCTTTTAGAGAGGAATGTTGCTACACAGGTGAAAAGGTGTCAGTCCCCTACTGGCCCATTTCTTATTTGTTGAGCCCTCACAATATGCCAGGCACTGTGCTGGTTCACGATCTAGCAGGAGAGGCAGTCACAGCCTTAGACTGATTCATTTATTCATTGGACATCCTCTGGAAACATACAGCAAGTCACCCGATCTAGTCCTTAGTCAGGCATGGCTTCCTTGAGGAACTGACATTTGTGCCAGATGGTCAAAGTTAAGTAGATGGTGGTTGAGGGGAAAAGGGAACAAGAGCCAAGGAAACTATATGCTTGAAGGGCCCTGAAGTGTGGAGGGTGGAAGGGACAGAATGTTCAAGGGTCTTAAAGACATTGCCAATATTTGAAGTACGAAGCTGGGGGCAGGGGTCCAGATGAGGTTGAAGATGTAGGCAGAGATGGAATAAGACAGAGCCTTGATATATGACAAGGTTGCTTTAGTCAGGAGTCTTTTGGTTGAAAGTGACAAAAATCCACCTAAGAAAAAAAGGATTTTATTGGCTCAGAAGCTAAAAGTTCAGGGCTTTCAAGATCAAAGATGTCATTGAATTTTGACACCTCTCTGTCTCATCTTTGCTTTCCTTTGTGTCAGCCTCATTCTTGGGCTGGCCTCTGTGAAAGGGTCTTCTGATCCCCCTCGTCACACAGAATCCAAAGACCGGAGTGGAGGGGAATGGGGGTGAGAAAGGCTAACTGACAAGAGCCACTATCTTCCTTCCACTCTTCAAGACCTTCAAGGTTACCTTCCTTTCAGGCTATGTCCAGAAGTCCTCACCGTAGACCTCTTGGGAGGGAACAGAAAGCTCGGCCTTTTAGGGATTTTATGGCGGGAGGTAGAGAAAGGGACAGGCGAGGGACCCTGTTTCCAGGCTCCAAAGCTGTTTGTTTTCTTAAAATTAGCAAACCTGCAGCCCCGTCTCTTTCCCTTAGGGCCTTTTCCCCGCTGCACCCTCAGCCTTCCCCGGAGGCAGGGCCATCGGGGGTTGGGAGGGGAAGAAAGGAGGCGGGATTCCAGAGGCGCCTCCCGCCTCCGCCGCCGCACCCCCCGCGCGGTCCCTGGGCACTAAGCGGGTCCCGACCTACTTGCGGACTCGCGCTGTCCCCGCCCTTCTCAAACGACCTCCACGTCCTGCCCCAGCTCCGGGGCTTCACAGC